CAGCCGCTTCCTCCTGTATTTCCAACGGAATCTCTCGCGACATCTCGCTATGGTCTATTTTCCAAATTTTTGAAAAGTCCCCAAACTGACAATAAATAACCCCATTGTTGCAGGTGACAGACGTTACGATTACCTTAGAAACTTAACGGCCGCCGGCCGTTATGATAACGTCCGGCGGACGTTATATGCATCTTTTCCATTCTGATTTTGCTTATGTTATAATAATATAACAATATAGTATGACGAAAAAGTTATTAATTGTACTTCCTCAATTGTTAGTTAGTAGTTTTACTTGTTTACTAATACTTATGATCATAAAGTAAAATTTTATCACTAAAATATTAAAAAAAATATTTTTTTGCTTTTTCCGTTAGATTAAAGTCTATTTTTATTTAAATTTGTGCAGAGACCCAACCTCCTGGATTTAGAAACAGGGAGGGGGGCAACAGTAAGCATACCTTTTAGTGATGATGGTCGTTATTTATTATTAACAAAACTTTTTGAGCGCTTTTTACTTTGGTTGAAAAAGTTTTTTTTTTAATTTGTGTAGAGACCCCAATTGTACCTCGGCGATTTTAATTTTTATATTTTTTTGAAGCCAGTGGTATCGGCATTTAAAAAATAATGTACTCAAAGTTTATATATTTTTTTTCTTGACATCTTGGCCCAGGCTAACTGTGTACCTGGACCTTTATTTATACGTGTATTAATATTTTTCTATATTTGATATAGAAGGTATATTTTGCATAGATCTATATACAGGGTGGCCCATCGAAAACGTTCCGCAAGGCATAACGGCCAGGGTATTTTTTTTCGAAAAATCCAAAAGCACGTCAATTTTGCTTGTGAGGGGGACAACTATTGCCCCAAAAATGATTGCAAAATCTTCAACCCTCTAATCGGGGGTGTCATCCCTCAATTTTTTTCAAATAGGAATGGGGGTCAAGTGGTACGGCAATGAAAAGGGATTTCTATTCTCTATACTTTCCCGCCCGTTTTTGAAAATCGGTCGAGTCATTGAGAAAATATGGATTGAAGTTTGAAAAGTTTATGTAAACATTTATCAGAGTAAATGATAAGGATAAATTCCTTCGACCAATTTGCTGTTTTTTCTTATCATTTCTAGATGTTTACGCATTTTTTCACTTGCCACAAGGTTGAACGATCAGGTGCGGTAGTTGAGCTGTTCTGTGACTTGTGCGTTGAAGTTTGTCTCAATATCGTTAAACTTTTTAACAATTATGGTGTACTCACTTGCAGAAAAAGTGGAAATAATCGAACTTTATTTTAAAATAAACGGTGCCCGGTGGCGTAGAGGTACAGGCTCTCGTCTACCAATCTCAAGGTGTGGGTTCGAATTCCACACCCGGCATTTCATCAGCCGACTATTTTTATTAAAATAAAAATAGTTTGAGTACCTAGGTCGACTCAGTCTTAAATGAGTACTTGGGATTCACAATCCTGAGGTAATAATAGGCGGTTGAAGCGTAGTGCTAGCCACATTACCTTACTTGTATATCAAACGGCTCTAGCATGGCAAGCTGTACCTTGCTACTCCCAAGGCGTCAAACGCTATATATGGGAGCTATTATTATTATTTATTTTAAAAATAAACTTTATTTTACTTTATTTTAAAACGTCTTCGTTGAGTTCTTGTACCAACTGAATTCTGAACGGGTGGAACTTGTGTTTTTTTAATATCCTTTGGACGCTTGTACGATTCACGCTGGTCTCATTGGCTAATTTTCTTGTACTCGGCGTACTATTCATGGCAACTTTGCACAATTCTAATACCTCCATAGCTTCATTTACTACAGGATTTTCTCTCTGCCTCTTTTTATTCATAACGGAACCAGTTTCGCAAAATTTTGCTACTAACTCCCGAACAATTTTGCCATAAAGGTATTTGTCAGGATGGCGTTCATTGAATATCTGCGCAAACCGATTGGCACATTCATTATTTTTAAAATAAGCTAAAGTTCAATTATTTCCACTTTTTCTGCAAGTGAGTACACCATAATTGTTAAAAAGTTTTAACGATATTGAGAAGAACTTAAACGCACAAGTCAAAGAACAGCTATCTAGTAACTACCGCACCTGATCGTTCAACCTTGTGGCAAGTGAAAAAATGCGTAAACAACTAGAAATAATAAGAAAAACAGCAAATTAGTCGAAGGAATTTATCCTTATCATTTACTCTGATAAATGTTTAAATAAACTTTTCAAATTTCAATCCTTCATATTTTCTCAATGATTCGACCGATTTTCAAAAACGAAGCGGGAAAGTATAGAGAATAGAAAGCCCTTTTCATTGCGGTACCACTTGACCCCCCTTCCCATTTGAAAAAAATTGGGGAATGACACCCCCGCTTAGAGGGTTGAAGATTTTGCAATCATTTTTGGGGCAAAAGTTGTCCCCCTCACAAAATTGACGTGTTTTTGAATTTTCTGAAAAAAAAATTATCCTGCCCGTTATGCCTTGCGGAACGTTTTCGATGGGCGGGCCACCCTGTACAGATTAATTTGTATATACACTCGCCTAAGAATATTGTCTCTGTTCACTGTTGCAAAGTTGTAAAGTCTGTCTACGCACCGAGAGAAGGACGATTTCGACAATCGAAATACATATAAACTTAAGGATAACAAAATTTGTTAAAAGCAAAGTA